CCGCGGGCCCGGCAGCCGCCAAGACCCGCCGTCCCCGGGAAGGGCGGGACGGGCGCGCCGAGCCCCGCGCCGGCCTCGGGGTCGGGACTCAGGAGGACCCCCACAGGACCGTGTCAGCCCGGTGAGCTTTCCCCCCGGGCCGCTTACAGTTCCTGACCTCTGGGGGCTGCCGGGCATTTGGCTTCACCCGGTGAAAGTTCCGTGCTCTCCTCGGGGCGGGGAGGGGGGGAATGCACTTGCGCATAAACTTTTGCACGTCGTTCAGGGGGGACTCAGGCCCTCTTGGAGCCCGACACCTACACAGCTCGCGAGGGTCGATGGGCGCCTCCGGGTTAGGAGCATGGATTTCCCTGGCGTCGGGACTGAGCCCCCCCCCCATCTCTCCCCAGTCCCAGTTGGTCCCATTATCAAGAGAGGCAGTGCCCCTATTTTATAAGGTACAAGAGGTCACTGTCCCATTTGGCCCCAGGGAAGAACATTTTCTGGCTTCTATCCAGTTACCCAGCACCAACTCTCACGGAATCTGAAATTTTGATTTGTTTTGGGAGGTGGGAAGAAAGTACCACGGTGGTGGGGAAGCAGGTGCTCAGCTGGGGTGGGGGCGAGCGTACTGCTCTGACCCTGAGGGCTTCGATGCTTGAAGAGCAGAGATCTTTGCGTTTTATTTCGGATGCTCCCCACCCCCACCCCCCCTCACCTATCAGGGACCCACACAGAATCTGCCTAGAGAAAGTATCTTGTTTGGAGCCCGCTGGCTATTTTTAGCCAGTATTTTTAGCATTTAAAAATACTCAGAAGCAGCAGCGTGTGCTGTTACTCATCTGTGGCCTCCTTCTGTTCCTCTTGGCATGCTCATCGCCACATGTACACGCGCCCTGCACACACGACTGCAGCCACATGGGGAATAAGACCAGGACACATGTATGGAGTGGGCATGAAGCAGGAGCGGCAGGGCATTCTACTTGCTGGTCAGTGAGGGCACCGGTGTGAGGATGGTGAGCTCCCCAGTCCCTGTCCTCACTCTGTGACCAAATCCCAGACGCACTGCGCCAGGCTTTCCTCCCTGCTTCCCTCTTTCTAGGCACGCCCTTTCTAGTGAGTCCCACAGTGTCCAGCAACGCTTGCATTTGGTTACACCACAC